GCCAGCCATCGATATGTTTTGCGGGCTATATTTTTTAACCCTACTAAAGGTCAGTTATGATATATTTATTGATCAGATCATTCTTAGGTCTTCAGAAATGCAGGTGACATTTGTGGACAAGTACAAGACGTTTGAAAACCCAATATTTAACTTTAAAAGAAGTTTAGTTCTACATGTTTTTCATTATTTTATTATTTGTTGTTGTTGTTTTCCAGCCACTTGAGTGTTTAAATTCTTGTTGGGTTTTGTTGCCTGCACATTCTGCTAAAGGCCTCCAGTTTGGTGACATTCTTAGGCTGCACATTTCTGAAGTGTTACTGATGGAGACAAACGCCTGAACTTTCACCTGTTGATTGTATTCCTTTGTTTATATGTTGGGATATTTGTTTGTTTGTTTGTCCTTTGGTATTGTTTAATGATGGTATAATAATTGCTTCGAGAATTTATTAGCGCTAAAGATGATAGACACATTGTCTTGTAAAACTGGTCAAATGTTTTGCATTAGTTTTACATTTGATCAATGTTTGCAGGAAATTCTATTTTAACCTATAAATGTGCATAACTTGTTTCCAGAACATAAAATTCTAGATGTGTATGATTGTCTACTTTACAGCCATTGTTTTCTAACTGGATGGACTGAATGACTTCTAATATTCTGCATGTTCAATGAGGCTCTAAAAGAAAACTCATACAACTTTTATGTAGCCCAAAACTTTTAAATACCTTAGAATAATATGCTGAGGTCAGTGTGCTATTAGTTTAATGTGAATGTAAAAAGTTTCTGTGCAGTGCAAAACTGTACGTCCTAAAAGCAATTTCATCTGGGAGGAAATTCATTAACGTTGTACTATAATGTACATTAGGAAGAGAAGGAAAAATCACTTGTTTAAACTGCATTCTGATTTGTGAGCACAATGTTGTTTAGTAATCTGCCACAAAATACAATCTACTGAATCCAGCGCTGGCATCGGATGCCAAGGTTGAGATTTATTCAATGAAATTACAATCAAAAACAGAAAATTCTGGTTTTATCTCATTGCATGAAGAAGAACAAAAACCAGAGTGGATTTTACTGTCCTGTGCAAAATGTCATAGAAAAAAAAAAACAGATTTCACTGATGATCACAGACATTAACTTCTTCAAATCCTTTATTTGCCACGTTTCATAAATTTCTTAACATTTAATTAGCTACCAGTCAAATTCAGAAGAGAATTTTCAATCCTACGTCTAACAAACAAACCTCTCAGCAGCCCAGCTCTGTCTTATAATAAAGATTTTATTGTTCCATATTTTCCCAACAGAGCACTTCCCTCCTAGACTGTAGGTTTATTTGTGGTGCCTAGAGTTTCTAAAAATGGAATGGGAGGCAGAGCTCTTAGTTATCTGGTGGAACCAACATCCAGTTTCGGTCCATAAAGATGACACCCTGTCTAGACTTACCTTTTTGATAAATCCTATAGTTAGGGTGAACTTGGGTTTCCAAAGCTATCTTTAAGTTATGCTGTTAAGGCTCCAACATACTCGGGTGTACCATGTGAGCCGTGCAGACACTGTCCACAGATGGTACACCCTGATGGGCTGCAGCCAGCTCTGCAGGCGAGGGGCGTTTACCATCAGGACAAACTGAGGTCGCTGATTGGTCATTTGCTGACACACCAACTGGATTGATTGACAGGTTGCAACCAAAAAAACGAGAGCTGCCGGCAGCCCTGGGTAGAGGCAGCTGGCAGTCCAAGAGCAGCGGCAGCGGTGTTCTGTGTTTATATGTTGTTAATAAAAAGGTTTTTTTTTTAAACGAAACAGGGAGCGCTGGCCCTGCAGCCCACACTTTAGACCGGCCCATCGAGAAATCTCCAAACCCTCCTGCATCCACGCTGGGCCTGATTTTAATTCTCTTGTGACAAATTCCTTAATTTCTCACAATTTCCGTCATGGCATCAACGGACGAGGAGGAAGAGATCGCTTGCCTCTTGGGGAAAAAAAACAACCCAAAAGACCATTAAACCAGATCATGGATGAAAAAGGGGAATTTAATACATTAGTGTTACATACAAAACAGTCTGTCGCCGGGCAGTTTATTGTGCGACACAGAGTGCGCGTACGTGGTCGTAAAGATTGATCTTCACGCAGACATGACTTGCGGGCGTCCACTTCGAGTCCACATTTAGTCTAATCAGGTATGCACGGGCCTCTGCGGAGTGAAGTGCGCCCGAATATGTGGGAGCATTAGGCTTAGAGTGCTTGAGGACAATCTGACCACTCTGCTTCTGTTTGTAATTGCTCTGATGTTCATGTTTGTATTTGTAAGTATTAACATGTTGTTGTTGTTTGGGGGGGGGGTCTCTCTTTCCATGTTTGTCTGTATTAGAGTTGCAGCTGTGTTCAAAAAAATCCAACCCGGCCCCAGCCCATAGCCATAATTTCCAAACCCCACCCGATCTGATGAATTAACAATAATGACAGGTCCAACCCTGAAAAATAACCAGAACATTTTTAATTAAGCTTTGACTGCTTATATAGTTATTAATGGTTGTCGAACGCACGCGGCTGAGTAAAGGGGGCAGAAGATCAGAGCTGAGGAGCCTTCAAAGCGCATTAAATACTTCCCCTGCTTCTGCATATATTGGACCTTGCTCTGCCATGTTGGATCCTTTGTGATCTCACCTGTTTGGGTCATAGGCCGTGCGCGTCCGCTGAGTGCAGAAGCGGAATGAACATCCATTTGGGCAGATGGATCACTGGCAGTAGTCCATCTGAAGCTTAATTGAACTTTTTACCTCTTTCAAGACCGGTCAACACGCGGTGAAATGGCCGTGTGCGGCTGGTGATTGTATGGCAAGCCATGTTGCCATATAATTGGATTATCAGCCGCACGCATCCGCTGATGCAATCAAAAGCCCAACACCGACCCGCCCTGCCCATTAAGCACATTATTATGGACTGGCCCGATCCGAATCTTGGTTGGGTGGGGCCGGACTCCAGGTTCGGGTTAGAAATGACAGCTCTAATCTGTATTGCTTTCCTGTCCTCTCTAACCCCAGCCAGTTGAGGCATGGCTGCTCATTAGTGATGGTGAGATGAAGATTCATGAAACACTGAGGCTTTCCATTAAATAGCTTGACTCGTGATCTGACGTGGCATGGTGCTTCATTTGCTCTACTACGCCATCAAGTGGACCATAAATGTAAAATTGGTAGATGGATTATTTTTTTTTCATTTACCCTTTATGAATACAGGTAGTGTCATTGAGCCACGAGAACTCATTTTCAAGAGAGACCTGTTTAGGGAGCAGATGGGGGCAAATGAGGGTGGAGCAAGTGTGGGTGCTTCACCAACCCCACCCACATTTTTGATGTTGTCGGTACCGGGGCGTGAACCGGCGATCTTCCGTTCACAGGCCCTCCTCTCTAACCTCCTAATTATAACAACATAACTGGTTTACGAAGCTTTAAGTTGAATAAAAGAAAAAAGAAATCGTGTTTGTGAAGACCTCAAATAAAGTCTAAATTTGATCTGCAAATGATCTTAATCTGTCTTTATGTTGATGGTGATGATGGATTTTTCTAGCTGCCCCTTATATTTCGAATCTTGCGCATACAAATGAGCCAGTTCCTGAATTGGTCACGTGGTACGGCCCGCTAGCGACGCCTCAAACGTCACTACATGCGTCATCAATACACGCCTCGATACACGCTCCACATAAATCCTCCTGGATTACGCGACACACGCTTCGAAGCCTCGACACAGAAGGACCCACACTGCTCATCCTGAGCCCTGTTCTGCTGGAGGTTCCTCCTGTTAAAAGTAGGGATGCACTTTTTTTTTTTCACTTCCGATCCGATACCGATATCTGCGTTTTAGTGTCTGTCGATACCGATCCGATACAGAGCAGCAGTGCTGAATTAACAAAAATGGCTAAATCATCTGGATCTTTTTCTGAAACACGTCCACATGACATGATTTTGTCATTTTTGTTGTCTACCTGGATGTTTGAGCTTACAAACGCAGTGCTGAATTAACTTAAAACATTTGTTTTGTTAAACGCAGGCATGAATGTACTGAATTACAAATTTATTGAAAACTCTGCACCATAACAGTACACTTAAATACACCAAGAGCTTCACAAGCTTGGTCAAACATGTAAAAACAACACAACTTTAACTTGTTCAGTCAGTACGCTAGTGCATGACGTCACTCAGAGCACAAAAGCATAGAATTAGAGTGAATAGATCTGCCCAGTCCTGGATCGGTCACATTGTCACCGATACCCAATCCAGAAGTTGTTTTTTTTTCTCTTTTGATATCGGTACCAATATCGGTATCGGATCGGTGCATCTCTCGTTAAAAGTGAGGTTTTCCTTCCCACTATCACCAGTGTGCTTGTTAGTTAGTTAGATAGTTGCTTGAAAGGCAAGCGCATTATTTAAATTTGTTGAACAAATGCATAGATACATTTACAAGTACAGATTAGACATTTTATGCATTTATTGTAATTTTGCCAACTTTTTATTTTTAAGAGTTTTTAGAGTGTTCATTTTACAGTAGGGAAGGGAGCATGCAAAAGACATCACAAGTTTAACTTGTCTTCTCTGTAACATAGACCTAACTTGTATTTTTCGAGTGACAGAAAGCTCGCATGCATCCTCTCAACATGATACAGCAGCCTTTTGTTGTTTCCTCGTGCATTTTAGAATTTTAGAAAATGTTAAATTAAAATGACGAAGTCCTCAGTTTTTGCTGTGCACATGCACGAGTGCCAGTACTCCCATCCCCTGTTTGCATGATGTCCTCCACGTCATGTCTCACCAACAGGAAAGAAGGCAAACCTAAAGAAAGTTGTGGTGTTGTGAACACAGTGCACCTCCTTCCCTGAGCAGTTCAGGGAAACGAGCTGTGACACTCGACCCGATGACCGAGGTTTTGGGGCGTGGACCAAACTTCCCTGAGACCAATGGGAGTTCACGGTGGAGCTTTGTAAACAACTCCTCCATGCTGCTTTACTACTTTGACTCTTATCTGAGGAAGGAAGCGGCGGTGTTCCCTCGGAGTGACCGACAAAAGCCAAAACAGGTGAGCCACAGTTGAGTTTGCTCGTGCGTTGTTTTTGTTGTTGTTGTTGTTGTTTTTTGGGGGGGAGCTGTTTGTTTGATTGTTGCGCGTGCGCGCGCGCTCAGCGTTTCTGCGCGCGCTCCTGCACTGTAGTAGTGAAAACAGCTGTCTCGCACCAAAACAAGTGAAGGCGAAGAAGAGCCGCTGGTGTTTTTCTGTACAAACAGCCCGTCCAGGAACACGGTGTACGTTTTTTGACACAACACCCCTTTAAAAGGAGCCAAACAGAAACTCTTCACTTGACACCACTGGATCGTTTGAGCTACTCCACGACCTTAAAACTTAAAACTTATTAGTAAAATGAGACGTTATAAAGTCCAAGGCTGTCTTAGTAGGAAATCAAACTTAAAATGTAATGTTATCAAGTGGGTGCAGTTTAGTTTACACCAGATACATTGATGTGCAAATCTGAAATGCGGGTCTGCAATAAATGTCAACATACCATACCATACCATTTTATTTATAGAGCACTTAAAACAGTGACAAGGCCAACCAAAGTGCTGTACAGACAGAACAACAGGTAACACACAAAGCAAAATACAAAATGAATCAAATCAGAAATATAGACATAAACGATGCAGATAATGACGACAAACCAGTGTGGGGCATACAGGATCAAAACACAGATCCTCTGGTGTTGAAAGCTACTGAATAGTAGTGAGTTTTTAAACGGGACTTGAAAACCGAGAGGGAGGGGGCCAGTCTGACAAGCAGAGGTAACTCGTTCCAGAGTCTTGGTCCTGCTACAGAGAAGGCCCCGTCACCTCTGCGCTTAAGACGAGTTCCTGGAACTGTTAGGAGCAACTGGTCCGCTGAACTCAGGGAGCGTGGTGGGACATACGGTTGTAGCAGATCAGAGAGATGGGGGGGGCAAACTGTTCAGCGAATTGTAGACATACATGAGTATTTTGAACTGGATTCGAAAGTGAACCGGTAGCCAGTGCAGTGAGGCCAAAACTGGTGTAATGTGCTCTCTTTTGCCTGTACTGGTTAAAAATCGGGCTGCTGCATTCTGGACCGGTTGTAGTCGTACAATGGAGGTCTGACTTGTACCAAACAGGAGCGAATTGCAGGAATCAAGCTTAGATGTAATGAATGCATGTATTACTGTCTCCAGGTTCTTTTTGGACAAAATGGGCTTCAGTTCAGACAGCCGCCTCAGTTGGAAAAAACATGATTTAACAATCATGTTTACGTGATTGTTAAGTTTCAGGGAAGGGTCCATTATCACGCCCAGATTAGTGACTCTTTGTTTTTCTGACAGGGTTAGAGCAGAGAGGTCGACGCAGTGGTTTGTGATCGTGTCATTGGGAGGGAACAACATGACTTCAGACTTCTTTTCATTGAAACTTAAGAAGTTTAAAGCCATCCAGTCCCTGATGTCAGCCAGGCAGTCGAGCAGAGGTTGAATAGAGCATGTACCATTGTGTCTTAGGGGGAAGTAAATTTGACAGTCATCGGCGTACAAGTGGAAGGGCACTTAATGTGATTAACCTACATTGCGCAGGAGTGGGTAAACAAATAAGGTGGAATCAGACCAGCAAGGAAACTTTTGGAAGACTTTATGAGAGTGAAGCTGCTGTTGAACTTAAAAGAAAAAACTGAGCAAGAGCAGAATAAATATGGAGTTCCACAAGGAGGTGGAGCACCAGTAAGACAGATTGGTGTTCAAACAGACGTGGCTTTTAGAAAACTTCTGCTAAACCAGTTAGTTTGGCATCTGACCTATTTTCAGTCACTTTAGCTGTTTCTACAGGTAAACAAAGGCATGGGGTATTTGGCAGCCAGTTGCATATTTTTAATTTAAGGACACCTTTACAACAAATTGAGCAAAATATCGGGTGGTTTAAGTTTATTTGTTGTTCAGTTTTTGTGAGTAACACTTATGCAAGTGTCTAAAATTCCTTCAGGGTAATAAAGTTTTATATTTGTTTTAAGTGTAAAGAGATCCAGGGTTGAACATGAGCTGTAGATCGAACTTGACAGTTTAAATTTAACAAGCCTTTGGATGATTTTCGGAGTAATTGCAACGGACTAATGATGGAGCACAGTTCATTGAAAATCACTCAGCTTCTGCCCACTAACCGACAGAGACAGACTGTTATTAAAGACACTTTTTACAGCCCCTTTGAATGTGTCAGAGCCATGCCTGCTTTAAGTGTTAGACAAGAAAATGTGACCATCCATTTAGCAGGTACACATTACCAGGAGAAAATGTCCATGGTTAAGTGCTCATTTATGTTTTTAAAAGCTCCCGGTGATGTAGAAAACCACCAGTCATGATCACTGGTCACCTTGGTAATAGATTTTTTTTATCTTAAATTTCAGATTAGCATGCACAATCTATATTTTTCTTCTGTTTTTTTCAATCAGCCCTTTGACTATAAGTCTTTTCAGCGTGTCTGTTTGAAATCATCTCTACATTTTGCTGTCTCAAGTGGTGCTGAACGTGCACTGCAGAGCGCGTGCTGTGTTTTGGTATGTGCTGCTTTACTGTTGATGTGCTGCAGGTTACAGAAACCTTCTCTCTGAACGGATGTGGGCACAGCTTTCGTTGCGGAGCGTCAACATCTGTATGCTGTGCTCCCTCAGCACGCCCACCCTGAAGGAGGGCTTGAGGAAGAAGGGGGAGGGAAGCTTCCTGTCACAATAGTTGAGAAAGTAAAAAGAAAAAGAAAAGAAAGTTTGGCAGATCTGATTAGGGGGTGGGGTTACACACGCAGTCATGCCTTTTGTTCACTGTAATTTCTCTGGAAACGACACGTTTCTCTGAATATTTTGGTTGCCAGGTTGATTGAACAGAGTGTGCATGCTTCTCTGTCTTTATGCTACAACTACACGCATTTCAACCTCATCAGTGTGGTCTGAACTCCTGCTCTAAGGTTCTTCCACATAAAAACTTTGTCTTTTTTTACTTTATTTTTTTTTTTTTATTTTTTTTTTTTACTGTCAGTCATTTTGGCTTCTTTGTGTTGTTTTTAGGTCAAAAATGTGCCGAGAAGTTTTAGCTTCTCTCCACTGACTCCCTGTAAAGTACAGAATTGAATTCAAAAGCTTACTTTTAACCTACAAAGCTCTCAACAACCTAGCTCCATCTTATGTTACAAATCTTATTGTTCCATAATTTTCCAACAGAGCACTTCGCTCTCAGACTGCAGGCTTACTCGCGGTTCCTAGAGTTTCCAAAAGCAGAACGGGAGGAAGATCTTTCAGTTATCAGGCTCCTCTCTTGTGAAACCAACTTCCAGTTTCTATCTGTAAGGCTGACACATTGTCCAGTTTTAAGACTGGGCTTAAGACTTTCCTTTTGATAAATCCTATAGTTGGTGTTGGCTTGTTATGCTGCTATAAGCTTAGACTACTGGAGGACAAACTGACCACATTTCCTTAAATGATTTGCTAAAACTGAATAGTTTCCATTTGATACTATTTCTAGCTTAACGTGATTCTTGACCTGCCATTGTGTATCTATTCCTCTCAAACCCAGCCAGTTGAAGCAGATGGCCACTTGTCCTGAGCCTGGTTCTGCTAAAGGTTTCTTCCGCGTGAGGGAGTTTTTCCTTTCCACTGTTGCCTTCATTCTCAAGATGAGAGTCTGCGATGGAGACAAGAAAAATAAAGAATATACATTAATTTGATTTTAAAAAAGTAGCATAAAAATGCACTTTTCTTGATATACAGTATATTAATTAATCAAAATGTTTTTCAATTCAATTCAACCTTTATTTATACAGGTTAGTCTTATAAAATAGGAAAAATAGAATTCATTTCTTGAATGAGCCGTGTTAAGCTTTTAAAGATTTTAATCAGTGAATTTTCATTGTTTATGTCCAAAATGAGAAAAAATGTCTCACAATATTATATAATATTTTCACAATATTGGTAAATTATCACTCTTTTGAAAGTAACTTGAAGACAATAATGGACTTGTTTATTCTAAACTTAGAAGACCTGGTTGTTTGTTTAGAAAATTTAGTAAAATATTTTTAGATTTTTCACTTTCCAATTTAATCGGTCAGCTGTTGGGTTAGTTACTTATATATGTTTTTGTTGTTGTTGTTTTATTTTATTCTTTGTTATCATTTAACCTCCTAGGACCTAGCATCCACATATGCAAGAGTCCGGGTCTTAAGCGTCATTTCCAGGTCAAGGTTTAATTATTGTCATTCGTATCATTTGTGGTACATGTGGTGGAATGAAATTGTGTACGCAGGGTTCCAGTTCCAGCCAATAAAAGTATAAATTGTAAAGAAAAACAATAATAAGATCTAAGGTATGAACTAAGAAATGCACTAAACTAAGAATACGTTAGTACAAAAACAACACGCCGAACAACAGCAGCATGAAATGTACTTCTCATAAGGACTACTTTATCGTAAATAATCCAACACTATGTAAGCAAATATTCCAGGGTTTGGTTACATGTCATTCCAGAGGGATTTCATTCTTTATTTCAAGATTAGATTTCGTTCTCCACCTCTGAAAGTAAAAAATGAACCCCTCCGTTTCTGAACCAACACAAATTTGAGTCAAAAGTTTCATGCTCGTCATGTCGTTCTCTAAACTTCCCTCTCTTTACGTCTCGGTCTGATGAGGCCAGCTGCCTCTCGGTTGGTATTGTTGTGAAACCTTTGTTGCTAATGGAGACCAATTGAAAATCCCAAAAACCACCGATGCTCGTCGTGACTGATGGAGCGGTGACGTGTCGGTTAACAGACGAGAAGTTTGCTTTCATGTTGATCGAGAGAACACATTGTCTTACGCGAAGCTCGCTGACATCACTTCCTGTAACACAACCTAAACAAAAACAAGTCATCTGTCTGCCAGCAGAAACGTGTTCACCGCAGCGTGTGGTGCTTTGAGACCTTTAAATGCACAACGTGCTGATGGAGATGAAAATCACGGGTTGCTTCTAATCAGCTGCAAAAATCAAGAAAGAAAGAAAAAAAAAAAGCTTGGTC